AAAATAAAAGTCCTAAAGTTACAACCTCTCAATCATTTTGTACACTGGTAAAGATGTGAAAAATAAGCTTAACCTGCTCCACCAGGCCGACAGTAGAGTGTGTGCTAATGAAACAGGCGCTAAATCTCCTTGAGGCTTTCAGACACAGAAAAATACAAACACTACATTACTATTCAGCACCGCACCACATATTGACGCCCTCAAAGACCAGAGTGCCCAACCTCCGACCCCTCCGACATGCGGGAATCCTCCTCGCTGCTTCCTCTTTGCGTTGATGTCGGGTGAGCAGACGTTGCCCATCGCCTGCAGGAGAAGCCGCAGCGCTTTTCACTCAGAGCTGCCAGAGATAATATTATGCTGTAATTTCATATTCCCTGCTTTCAGTGCAAAACCATCAATTATCATATTCCTGAGAGTCCCTCTGGATATTTTACTTTCAACAAAATAATGTTTACATTGTTATTCAGAGAGTATAAGTAGGATAATTCTCCGCTGTTTTCATCCGTGCATTTTTTTTTTCTTCTGTCTTCAAACCGCTCCAGGATTTCACGCTCATTCGTCTGGATTTCTCCTGTGTGAATATGCTCTATATGTACAATCTGTATGTGTGTGTGTGCATTTCCTAAACATGTATCTGTACGTGCAGCCAGTGAGAAATGAAGGATGCATCATAAGTTAAAGGACTAGTTCTATGTTTTCAGGAATTTTGTACATTTGCTTTTTTTTTTTCCAGGAGTTTGATAAGAGGTTTTTTTGTCTCATTGTACAAAAGCTGGAGTGTGAACATGGCACGTTTGGTGATGTGGTCATCACTGAGCATTTGGGGTCCTTTAAAGGAACATTTTGTTACCTTGTGACCTCATCAAGATGGTGGTTGGTAACCTAACTAGTATTTATTGTAGACAGATGGTATCAAATTGTTAGCAAGAAGAACAACACGAAATGTATTAATCTAGCTGTAAACCTAATGGAGCTGATTGCATTGCTGCTACATGTTAGGTGTGTACCTTTCATCAACATTTCTCTTAACTTTACAGGAGCTAGCAGGGACGTCACACACTTCAACCCACCTCCTGAGCTCTCTCCTGGCCAAGCAGCAGCTCTGGAGCAATATATCGTGCAGAGCTCTTGTCATCTAGCCGTCTTTGTTTGGACAACCGCTGTTAACTTTAAAAGAAAAGAAAAAAAAAAATCTCATCTTCCCTTTCCAGTCTTTACAAGTTATATTTAGCTTCGCAATAGGGCCTGGCTGTATCAGATCTCAAAGTGCAAATAAAGTGCTGAGCAGCTTTTAGTCTGGAGCTGACCTTTTTGGGTGGGTTGTGAAAGAAGTGGGCGGATACCACGAGTATTACTTCTCCTCCACTTGACCTCATATAGGGAAAGCATTTCTGTGGAAAGGAAATTGTTTGAACCTGGGGGTTATTGTGTCTCCTCCAGGGCCTAACTCTAGACACAACTCACCTAAAGATCTGACTCCAAGGTGCCTCACAGGCTCCTCAAGCACAACAAAACAACACTTTACGCCTGTCTAACATGAGTGTGCTAGACGCTATTAAAAAGACAGCCAGAGAAGAGATCCACCGTGTTTGTGTGCTTATACCCGATGTAAGAGGAGGAGAAAAGTGTAAAAGCAGCACTCACCATACATACATCTCCTGTCATAAAGGGAAAACAGCATGTCAACAAATTCTAAACAACACAGTTAAGATGTGAGGGTTTGTGAATGTACCCGTGCTTTTAAAAAGCAAATAAAAAAGGCCTAACAGCTGCATGACATGTTAGCTGGCTGATGCATGTCTCCACAGTCCCACTGCTGTTTCCTCCAATTCCCTGCTCCATTTGTCTGCCTGACACCACTGTTTACATATCTGAGATGTCTGTCTTCCTAATAAAGCCATGACATAGTGAGAGAAACTTTCCCTCTTGCATGTCCAGGGAGGGATGCTTCACAGCGCCGGCAGAATTTGTGTTGGATTTAATAAAACCCACAGATATTATCAGTCTTGCACTTGTCTGGATTAAATTTCGTGACGCTTTGACATTCTCCGTGATCGATTTGCCCATTACAACAACCGACTTAGTCAGAAAAAAAGCCAGAACATTCAACACTCAGACTGCTACCCGTTGGGAACAAGTCCGGTTCACTCACCTCTCCAGAGTATGGAGGGATTTTGGGCCCAGCCTCCTCTGATCTCTACTTTGTTGTGATTGAGTGGGTACTTTAATCCATATGCCGTGGCACAGTTAGACATCCTTCTGGACTGAGGTGATTAATTCAATATCAGTACTCTCTTGCTGCACCCTGTTGTTTGCTTGCTGGGATATTGGACTGCGCAGGCAAAGGAGGCAGAAAGGAGACAAAAAAAACACCAGACCCAGCCTTGGCTGCGAGGTAAAGATATGCAAGCCAAGTTGGTTTTCTATGTAACTTTGCACCACAGACTGTATATAAAAAGCCATAGTTTTTTGAGGAGCGGTTTTGAAACTCGGAGGCTCTGGCCATCACCGTCTTGTTGTTAATCCAAAAATGAGCAAAGAGCATGAGTGGAGCTGAGGCGGGCCACGCCAACATCTCTGGACCATGAACTGTCCTGTGAAAGTACCCATCTGCCACTAAAAGGGGCCTCACCCTGAATTATGCATAACTTTAGCTCTTAATATAGTTTAAATGGGTTAGTTGTATAAAGATTCACCCCCCGTGCCGTTTTCAAGACAATACCTGTGTTTGTTCAAGGCTGTAAACACGATTATCTCTGCAGCGTGGGTTCTCTCTGGGTTCTCCGGCTTCTTCCCACAAGTCCAAAAACACCCATCCATCCATTATCTATAGACCGCTTAATCCTCACTAGGGTCATGGGGGGCTGGAGTCTATCCAGCTGACTTAGGGCGAAGGCAGGGGACACCACACTCACATTCACACCTACGGACAATTTAGAATCACCAATTAACCTCAACATGTTTTTGGACTTTGTGGGAGGAAGCTGGAGAACCCGGAGAGAACCCACAATGCACGGGGAGAACATGCAAACTCCACGCAGAAAGATTCTGGTGCCCCCACCGGGACGCGAACCGGCAACCTTCTTGCTGTGAGGCAACAGTGCTACCAACTGCGCCACCCTGCAGCAGTCCAAAAACATGTTGAGGTTAATTGGTGATTCTAAATTGTCCGTAGGTGTGAATGTGAGTGTGCTTGGTTGTCTGTCTCTAAGTGTAGCCCTGTGATAGACTGGTGACCTGTCCAGGGTGTCCCCTGCCTTCACCCTAAATCAGCTGCGATAGACTCCAGCCCCCATGCGACCCTAGTGAGGAGTAAGCAGAGTATAGATAATGGTTGGATGGGCTTCTGGGAAAAAACAGCAAGTTTCGCCAAAAGATAACTAGCTTAGCGTAGCAGGGTAGGAGCAACTGTAAAGTTAGCTTTTAGCTATTGGAATTGAAATGAAATGATGTGGTCAAATTTCTTGAAAATAATATATATATATAAGACTTAAAAGGAAGACAGAAGATTTTTGGTGGTTAAGTTTTCATCCAAAATATATTTACTTTGAATGTATCACACTGGGCTTTACTGTGATCTTTACACCCCTGTGATGTCCGTATCACAGCTGAACTATAGGAATTTTTCACTGATTTAGAAAAAAGTAACAAGAAAGCCAGATCTGTTGTTTCATCTTTTTTTTCTGCTTTTTCTTCAGGCTGCTACTAAAAGCAGCAGACCTGTTAGGTGAGTTCCTCCCTGTGATCAGCAGCCTCACACATAAAGCTTTGATCACTGACAGCATCGCTCCTGTCCATACAAAGACTAATGACTTTTCAGCAGCTTTAATGGGCACATAAAGGACGATGGCCATCTACTTTAAGCAGCTATGTAAAGCCACAGAGCCAAGGTTTCGGCGTCAAGCTGCTTTCTGGCTCTTTAGAGCGACGTTAGATTGATCGCAGATCAGATGCTGTCTGGTATTGAACAGGCTCATTGAACAGGAACCACCTCTCTGGAGAGAAAGAAGAAGAGAAGAGGGACAAGCCACACAGACATCCTGCATTATTGATTATCTGGTTGGGGAATTCCATGTTAAAGGTGGACACAGAGGGAGATACAGCCACAAATAAAACACACTTCAATCGTCCTATTTAGCCTCTACCAGAGCTGATGTTCGCACACCTGAGATCACAGCGGTGCATGGGCAGCAGCGCTATGCACCTTAGAGCTCAAGGATTTCCAATTTGTCTGCTTTCTCATAATTGCAACCCACCGAGGCCCTTAAGACGGTAAACCTGTCAGTCACATCTTCACGCCTAACAGCGACGGCGTTCGCTGCGGAGTTTTGCAGGCTCTTGGACAACAGAGAAGAAACAGCTCACCTTTGAAAAGATGCCTCAAGAGCAAAAGGGCTCAAAGAAAGTGACAGAAAAGTCTCAAGGAGCCTTGAAAATGTTACGCATGTGGGAGAAAGTCTCAGAGACATGAATTTTTAATGTCAAATGTGAATGTAATGAGATATAATAAATGCAGAGAGAGAAAAAGGGCAGGAGAGGAGAGGAGACAGGCTAATCTTGTTCCCATTTAAAGTGAAGAGATGAGGCAAACAGCATTTCTTTCTTTAATGGGCCTCTGGCAGCATTGTTAGCGTATGATCGCTGAGCTTCTAGTTGCGATTTCCTCGGCTGCACCTGAATGCTTTGCGTGAATGCTTTCCTATTCGTGGCGTTATCTTTCCGCCGTGCATTCAGCTCGGTCTGTGGATCGAATTATGCTGACTGTGGTGCAGTTACAGGAAATTATATTGAAGAAGAGGTGGAACAACAAAGATAACCAGCAGAATAAAATACATGTGATGACAGGTAATTTCAGCAGTAAAGCAAGCATTGGTTTCTTTGAACAGCTACACACACAACAGTTTTCCCTTTCTGCTACTATCGTCTGTGCAAACACCATAAACACGAGTCAGTTCTTGTGGTTTTCTGAATATAATGAAAAAAAAAACAAAAAAAACACAGTTAATTGCGGATGTTTTTCAACTATTCCTCTTTATTATTTTTTTCCATCCATGGTTATTGCTGTTAAGCTCCCTGCCACATGTGATGTTGGGAAAAGCCTCATTTCTGGGTGTAAAAAGTTTTTCATTTGGGGCTTTTTACACCTGCACCTTGACAACCCTGTAACACCTCAGCTGCTTAACTCTCCAGTTCATTTAGTTTCACTTCTACTCGTCAAAGATAACCCCAGTACACTTAAGATAACGCCATTAACAAAGCAGTAGAATCCCTTTAAATTCAAATTTAAACAGCTACTCTTGTGGGGAGAACAAACAAACATCATCAGTCACTTGCTGATTATTTTTCCACCAGTTGTATTGAATTAAAAAAACTTAAATATAGTTATATTTTAGAAGCGGCAACCAGAACATTTTGGCATTTTTTTTAACCAAAAATTGACCCGAAACTATTGATTAGTTTGAATTTCATCTACATTTCATATTTTTTACATATTCAGCTCAACAACACCTTTGTTTTCTACATATATTTATAAAAGGCTGCAACTAACAGCTGTTTTCACTGTCAGCTGATCTATCAACATTGAGTTAAAATGTTGTTAAGATAGTTTAGCAACAGATTTATTTTCTGTTCATCAGCTGCTTGTTGCAGCTCCACACTGATGTACGTTACTAAAGTGAAAACGATGTTCCCACCGTTGAGGTTAAATTACACACGTGTATCAACAACATACAGCATACTGCATGTGTTGCGACAATGTCAGCTTAATTTATGCCTACAGCTGAAAATGCAGCACATTTGTTGGATATTCAAGTTTTCACAAAGAGAGAGGCACAGAAGAGAAAATCCATCTGCCAGGCTGTCTTTCTCCAGAGGCCTCTGTGATCCCCAATTATCCTCCCATTGAGTCTCAGGGTTCATTTTAACACAGTCTCCCCACTCAGACAGGTGCAATCCAAAGCTTTCATGGCTACTCGCTCGTCATGTCAATGTTTGAAGATTTGCTTTCTTCCCGTGCTGTCTCTCAAAACTGAAATACTTTAAATTCAATACAAAAAAAATCTTTTCAGATTTTAGGATTGCAGCCGTGCTACATAAAGACTCGATTCAATGCAGAACACAAAATACCTTCACTAACTTTCCCAGCGCTATTTTAAGGCCCACAAGTCTGAAAACCCCAAATAGAGAGCAAGAAAACACATTCTAAAACTCACTTGCCTTTGACAGCACGAAAACGTAATACACAACCACAAATGGTTGTGGAGAAACCAAAACACAACTACATCTGCTCACCTCTATCCTCCCATTTTCCCCTTTACTGACTTTCTTGTTCTTTTCTTTCCATCATCCAGTCGGGTGCTTTGCAGAAGGAGAGGCTCTTCCCAACATCACCAACATTTACTCTGTGAAATCTGCAGAAAATGGGATTTCCACAATAGTTTGCACCACAGTGAAGCATCATACAAAATAATGTTTTAAAGGACTACTAGCAAAAATAAAATGTGTTCCCTTGTTGTTTTTAAACTCTACGGTAAATTATGTGTGACTTTAACAGTGCAAGAATTGCTACATGTATTCTGCTTAACATTCTAGTCACTAAGAAGTAAATTAGATCATTAATTCCATTACAAAAATACTAAATCTGTCCATTGGCTAATAATTTATACAATAGAGTACTTCTCAGTAACTGGTATATGCTATGTCTGTACTGTGTCACAAGTGGATGGAACAATTAAAGGTCCTGAAATGGAGCCCAGTGCAAACACAGGAGGGTCTGATAGTAAATATTGGATTAAAAGGAGGAGCATGTTCCTAACTCCGCTGTGGGACAGCAGGGTCTTCTTGGCTGCTCTCCAGCAGCTCGTCCTCCGAAAAACTGATGTGGAGGCAGGTATCATTCATAGGAGAGGAGAAAGGCAGTGGGTGATCGCAGGTGTCCGAATGTGAGGTGAGGATGGGGGGTTCAGGAGGGTACGGCTCAGAGGGTGAGACTTCGCCTCCCTCCTCCAGGGGACTGTCGCAGCCGCTGGAGGCCGTCAAAAACGTCCCGCGGTCCCCGAACAGGTCGTCGTCGTCGCGCAGGGGCGACATCAGCGACTTGGTCTCGGAGCGGACGCCCGAGTCCTCGCTGGCCGAACAGGAGCTGCTCTCGCCGTTGCTGAGGGAGTGGAAGTCGGCGGAGGACAGGGAGCTGGGGGTGATGTCTGGGAAGGAGAGGCTGCTGCTGCGGCTCGGGGCTGCGTCATTAGCGGTGACCTCTCCAGGCGTGGGCACGGCTATGACCTCTGACCCCGGAGACAATGTCCTGCTCGCCCTCTTGCGGTTCATGGAGGGCGGAGGAGGGTCAAGTTTGGGGATTATCTGTTCATACCTGCCAGTGAGAGAACAGAGGGACTGGTTAGTAAAGTCTCACTAAATGCCTTCATCGGTATCACAGCTTTGTCGCTAATTCATATTCATTCATTTTCCCACGTAGGAGTATAAGAACGAGCCTAGAGCTAGTTTTTCACTCCATCAGGCAAACTATACTCCATTAACCTGAGTGCACGGTGACGCAAGCTTTTACTACACAAGACAGTGATTCTCTCTCTCTCTCTGGCTCCCTGCTGTTCCGGCTGTCTAGGAACTTATCTACGTCCCACAGCTCCCCAGTTCAGAAAATAGAGGGACAGGGGAAGAAAGGGAGCCAAAGACAGAGCGAGTGGTGGTGGGGGGGAAGCGAGGAAACAGCTCCAGAAATAGCCACATTGCAGTCTCTGATTTTTTACCACAGTAAAGCTGTGACATGCACCAGTGCGCACAACCACACACAATTATAGTCATTCTCTTGGAAAACGACTCCCGACACACACCCGATAACAAGCCTCGCTTCCTCCCTGACTCCTCCCATTCGCATGATGCCTGCTAACTTCGTTCCCCTGTGAAATCCGGTCCGTGGTTGAATCCTGGTCTGAGTAATGAACTTATGTGACCTAATGATGTATTTACTGTCTCTGTTTCTGCACCAGAGTGATGTTGACAGCTACAGTAATGACAGACTTGTAATGGTGGGGGGGGAAGAAAAAAAAAAAAGAAATCTCCAGAGATAATTATCTACCATTTCCACGGCTAACAAATGGAGACAAACACGCAGCACAGTAGGGTAAAAGTCAGGCCGACTCCGTAGCCGCAAAGGGTGTCATTAGCTTTTACTCGCCATTGTTGCGGTGTGGCTCTGGGGACCACGATGCGATTGATCGGTTAGTCCAAAACTTTTGTGTGGGGAAAAAAAAAGCAGCTGAATGGCTTCTGCTGCAAATTCATGGTCCCCAGAAAATAACACTTTGATTGATCCTCTGTCTTTTCCTCAAGCATGAGGCTGCCTTTTTAAAAAAATAAAAAATAAAAAATTCATCGCAACGCTGCTAAAACTATTGGATGGACAGATGTGAAAGTTGGCGCAAACAACGGTGCCCAGAGGATGAATCCTAATGACTCTGGTGATCCCTTGACTTTTTCTGTACTGTGAGGCTGACATTTGTGGTTTTGAACGAAACGTGTCAACAACTATCGGGCAGACAGCCACAACATCTGGTACAGACATTCATGTTTCCTCTCAGGATTAATGGCAGCCACCATCAGGTCTGAATTGCAAGTTTCTCAGAACTTTTTTAAATGGAATATGACCCAATATGACCCAGAGTGTAAGAGGAGCCCACATAGTTCCCTTAAAAACCCAACCAGAACCCTTGAATACTCCTATTGTGCTCCTCTGGGGGTAATAGCTTCTCTGTGGCTTCTAAATACAAACAGTACAAATTAAAGGTTCATTCTGCTGTGGTTTCATGTGCTGTTATTTTTGAACGAGCCTGCTGCTAAGCTGTGGATATGCTGGCTGAAGGAGCAGGCTGCCTCCCTCTCTTTATCCTCATTATCATACCTTTGACTTAGCACTCCTCTTTTCTGTCACACCCCTCTCCGCCTCACTGCCCTATCTCCCTCTGCTGCGTTTTTTTTCTTTCCATTATTCTTCCTCTCTTTGTACTACTGCGTCTTTGTCTCTCGATTCATCTCCCTCTACTCTCATTCCAGATACCTGCACCTCAGCTGCTGGTGTCCTTTTCTTTTTCCTTTTTCAGTCGAGCTATTTGGGAAATTCTGCCTCGCACCGCTATAAAACAACTTAAGAAGATGTAAAGGCAGCTTCTGATCATGGAATTTATTATTTTTTGCCCTATTTCTGTCTTTTTTTTTTTTTACCATAATCTTTGTAGTTATGAGTGACACAATGCTGAATTTCAAAAAGAATGTTGCCAAAAACTGTGTTGTGCTATTACGAGAATGGCAATGCTTTAAAATCTGTGTTTCATTTCGGTTCTTTCAATGTGCAATACAATATTCTATATATCAGATTATATATAGACAAGAAATTCTCATTTTATGTTGTGAACACTGAACTTTAAAACCTCTAAAAGTCTTTGGTTAAACCTCTGTCAGGTATACAGACTAGCTAAGGCCTCAGAGAAGGCTCAATTACGATTTTGGTTTTGTACGACTATAAAAACAAGAAAATTGACATAAATCGATTTTCGTGCTACATTGTGTTTCTCAATATTGCTTTAGTTTGTGTCATAAATCTAGTTCACCCCTCCCTTTTGTTCACAGTACTTTTGCCTTTCCTGAAGCCCAAACATTCACCAAATGTGAATAATAGCTAATGTGAGACAGGTTAGTTTTACCGTACTGACCATGTGCTGCAATTGAAATCCTGCTCAGTACACAGGAACAGCAGATTTGGACAATTGTGCACAGCTAAAAAGCCAACAGTGTGAAGCTACCACCTTTCAGCTCAAAGTTGAGTTTGTGACAAGACCTTGGTGCCACAGAACTTCAACTGGTCTTGAATAGGCTCATGATTATGTTCCCAACTTATTGATTCATTGTTTGAGCTATAAAATGTCAAAAAATGGTGAAAAATGTTGACCTGTGTCTTCCAAATCCCAAGGGGACATCCTTGAATGTCTGGTTTTATCCACAACCAAGATATTTAGTTTCCCGTCATAGAGGACGAAGAAAAACTAAAGTCAAAATCATGAAGCTGGACTGAGAGGATTTAGACCAGGGGTGCCCAATCCTGGTCCTCGAGAGCCCCTATCCAGCATGTTTTAGATGTTTCCCCTCTTCCAACACACCTGATTCAAATGATCATCATCAAGCTCTGCAGAAGCCTGATAACGATCCTGATCATGTGAATCAGGTGTGTTGGAAGAGGGAAACATCTAAAACATCCTGGATAGGGGCTCTCGAGGACCAGGATTGGGCACCCCTGATTTAGAACAAGAAATAAAAAATGTAAACCAATTAATCAATTTTCAAAATTGTCCATTCATGTATTGGTTGATATTTAATCAATAAGCAGCTCTACCGGCCAGCACAGAGAGCAGATGGTGACAGGATGGTTGGATAACGATTGACACTCTGTTATCTCGCATCGGTTATCTGTGGAGAACCCGGGGCTAAACCACTTACAATTCATTTTGTTTATTTCTTTTTATTCTTTTTTATTTGCTTGTCAGTTTAATAATATGTAAATTGTGAGGCAATCTACTTGAAGTTTATTTATACTTTAATAAACGCATGGTGTTTCCAAACACTCTGAATAATTGTGTTAGATAACTATTACCTCAATTTTAGCTAAAATAACTATCATTTATTTCCATAATCGAGCAGCTCCAGTCTTCTGACAATGACGTGACGCACAGGGCTCAAACCTTCCAGTGCTCATTACACCGTAAAGTTGTACCACACGGGCTCTCCATCTAAACGAGATTATGAGCAGCTTAACAGTTCAGACCATTTATGACAGCTCAGATATACTGCAAATTACTGCTAAAGGAGACTATCTGAATTCTTACTCCTGCCGTTCCATTTGAACAGCCACTGGTTTCAGTTAATTCCAGCATGGAGTGAAAAAACTGGCTTGTATTGCTGTAGGTCATCCATCACAGTGATCAAATCATAGGGCTATCTTTATCAAAGGGAGATTTTCATTTCGCAATAATGCAGATGGAAAATTATTTTTTTTTCTCCATGTCCTTAAACTGGTGCGTTTAATTGTGGGTGGCAAGATCTGACACCAGTTTTATTAATCCCAAAGGGAAACTGCACTCTGTAAGAGCAGAAAATTCACATAATCTCTCTACAAGATGCTTATTGAATCTAATTCTCTGAGCACACGTTGGATTTCAACAACTAGATTCACTTAAAGACCCTTATTGTCAGTTATTGCCGGCCACAAATTCAGTTGAGTTCCTATGCTGCTTTTCCACTGGCTGCTGGTCAAACATGCAGCAAAAACGGTATGTGAGGCCTCTGACGCCGTATGCCTGAGGCTGGGCTTATCACATCGTCCATCTGGGAGAGGGCTGATTCAGTAAAGCAAAACATGCACGTGACCAAAAAAAAAAAAAAAAAACCACACTGAAATGTATCACAAACTCCAGTCCGACACACTAAATGTAAGACAGGTACATAAAGATGCGCCTCCCTCCTGCCTCTACCTCTGCTCTGACAGCTTTACTGTTCAGGCTGAACCTCCGCTGACAAGATAATACCAAACCTTGACAGGAGCATTTCTTCTTTTTATGGCTAAAGTGCGAGAGACGACAACAGTCCAGCAAAGTGCGGCAAACAGAGGCAGCTGCCGTGCATCAAACATGTGTGACTCACTGATTACCCCGATGCTAATGCGGTTCCGAATTAGCAGAACCGCATCCGCATGTAAATGGGAGGTTATTATGCAGTCATTAGCAGAGAAATCACTGGTGAGACCCACACACGAGTCCGTCGACACCCACACTGTGCATCCACCGCATGCCCAGTCCCATGCTTTGTGTGCCACAGTGACATGCTGGTTATCATGAGTAATACTCACATAGAGGGAGGAGAAGGGGCAGAGAGGAGAAGATGAAGAAGAAGAGGAGAAGAAGGAGGAGGAGGAGGAGGAGGAGAGGAAGGAAGGCTTAGGCAGTGGCAGAGAACTCCCCGGACTCCCAGGGAGAGGCAGGCTGGTGCAGCAAACGATGAGAAGGGACGGGGATGAGGGACGGGGGCGATGGAAGGCATGAGCTGTGGGGTTAAAGGCAGCGGGCTGCTGGTTGGGGTTGTTATCTGTTGTTTGTTTGAGCAGAGTGACTGACTGAAATGTTGGTATCTCATTGGGAAATTGGGAATGGTTAGATGAGCAAGAGGATGAGCAGGAGCGGGTCCTCACACCTGTACCAAAGAGAGGCGACAGTTAGAGTACAGAGGAGCTATGTAAGGGAACAAGACTAGTGACGTTAAAGCCAACACCAGTGTTTTGTTTGGGTTAGGGTTATTTTTATTTTTTTA